CGTGTGTAAGAGTTCCTGTTATTTCAAATCCTGGACAACACTTGATATTCCTTTAATTTTTAATTTTGGTGACTCTGCTTCATTGTTCACTTCTCCTGACTGTAAAAGTAATGCAAATCCACTGTAATTTTTTCAGCAAACACAGAAAAGCATAGAGAAGTAAAAACTGTCAATAATACCACCACTTAGAAGCATCCACTATTAACATATCTTCTTTCAGACTTTCTTCTCTGTATGTGCTCGTGGTTCTTAAACTCCCGGAGGTGCTTTGGGGAGCGGCAGTGAATTCACAGGCACGTTTCAAGAGATTTTCCATTTTCAAGGGGAACGATGATGTTTGACATCTGTCAGACTCCGTGCAGACTACGAGCTGAAGGCACGTCACGATGCCAGCATTAGATTGCGTTGTTCATCCGAAGTGGGCTGGATCCCAGGGCCCAGATGAAGCCATATTCATCAGTGATAATAAATTTTTGACGAAGTCACATTCTGGCACAGCTGGGTGTTTCACAGCTGCAATGTTGTGTGAAAATTGATGTGAAATAGATAATAAGGGTGACACTATGTACCCTTTTGAGAAGTTGTGCAGTGCCTCATGGGCACAAATATCCCCTGAATAACTGTCGGTGGTTTCTTTAAATAATGCGAAAAAATGCTATTTTTTTCCAATTTATATGTATTATTTCCTTTAAACAGCTACTAAATTGTTAGGATAGAATTATGAAGTTGTTTAGACCTAACTAATTAGTAAGAGCTACTAGGTATTTCTCTTGGACTAGGGGCACCATGAAAAAAAAACACTAAGGGTACCATGAGCCAGAAAAACCCAAAGAAACGCTGGCAACCATGCTCTTCAAGAAAAAGATCTGGGATCGCACTGTGACACTCTGGCTTTCAAAGTGTCGTAGAGTCTTCATCAAGCTGTGAATGAAACCTTTGTCCGGAGTCAACAGAAGACAGAGGTGCCTGATAGAATCTTTTGTGTCTGCCTAAATTCATGTTTCTATTACAATGTTTCTTTTTTGTCTACGACGATTTCTGCCTTGAAAAGTTCACTACTTCATGGCCTTCTACTATATTCTCTTAGTGCGAGGAGGAGTAAAAATTTTTACAATTCTTTTTTTTTTAAATTTTTTTAAATGTTTTTTATTTATTTCTAGGAGAGAGAGAGAGAGACAGCGTGAGCAGGGGAGGGTCAGAGAGAGAGGCAGTCACAGGCTGAAACAGGCTCCAGGCTCTGAGCTGGCAGTCAGCACAGAGCCCGACGCGGGGCTCGAACCCACGAACTGCGAGATCATGACCTAAGCGAAACTCGGACTAAGCCACCCAGGTGCCCCTAAAATTTTTACAATTCTTTACTGTGTCTTTTTGAGAGAGTGCAAGCAGGGGAGGGGCAGAGAGAGAGGGAGACAGAATCTGAAGCAGGCTCTAGCCTCCGAGCTGTCAGCACAGAGCCCGATGTGGGGCTCGAACCCATGAACTGTGAGATTATGACCTGAGCTGAAGTCAGACGCTTAACCGACTGAGCCACCCAGGCAACCGGGGTCAATTTTTGTAAAGAAATATCTTTCTTGTCATCTTGTAAAAATGAGATCATTGTCTTTTTAACTTTTAAGCAATGCAGAACTGTACACAGAGAAAAATCTAGACTCTTCAACTCCGAAGTAACCACTTAGGGCTGACATTTGGTCAATATGATTCTAGACATCTCTCATACATACTTACATACATACGCACATACATACATTCATACAAAGAACAGAAAGTAAATGTTTATAAACAAATATATTATCTACAGTACTATTTTTTAAAACATTTTTTTAATGTTTATTCACTTTTGAGAGATGGAGAGAGACAGAGGGCAAAAGGGGGAGGGGCAGAGAGAGAGGGAGACACAGAATCCAAAGCAGGCTCCAGGCTCTGGGCTGTCAGCACAGAAGCTGATGCGCCGCTCAAACTCATGGACGGAGAGATTATGAACGGAGCCGAAGTCTGACGCTTAAGTGACTGAGACACCCATACCGTACCATTTTTTTTAAAGCAAATTTAATACCACTTAACCCTGGGAAGGAACACACAGTATCTACGGTGAATAGGGTATTCCTGCGGTCGACTGGGCAATGCACATTCACACTCCCCAGAGCTCAGTCAGGTATTTGTGCAGATGAGGAACCTGAAGTCTACAGTTGTGTAGAAATCCCAGACCATGGGAGACACATCCATCACCCCGATCAGCAGCCGGTGGCCTCAGGCCGTCCCATACCCCCCTGCATTCCGCCCCTCAGTGTTTACCCCAGAGAAATGGAAGAACGTGTTCCCCAAGTTTCCATTGGTTTTTGTCTCTCTGTTGTTTGGGGGCTTTCCTAGACACCTCCTAGGTAAGGTCTGAGACCTACGGTTCCATCGTAATCTCCTGGTATCATACAGGCGCTCTGCTGATGTGACGGTTAACGTGTGAGGGACAGAGAATTCTCTGGTTCGACGATATGGCCTCAGTCTTTTAAAGAGCCTATGTCGGGGCGCCTGGGTGGCTTAGTCGGTTAAGCGTGTGACTTTCGCTTAGGTCATGATCTTGCGGTTCGTGGGTTCGAGTCCCGCGTCGGGCTCTGTGCTGACTGCCAGCTCAGAGCCTGGAGCCTGTTTCAGTCTGTGACTCCCTCTCTCTCTGACCCTCCCCTGCTCACACTGTCTCTCTCTCTCTCTCCTAGAAATAAAAAATAAATTAAAAAAAAAGCCTATGTCTCTGGACTGTTCCCTTCCTACTTTTACTGACTGCTTCTCAGTTTCACCCCGTCTCCTAGGAGGGAGAGGGAGTGGAGTTGGGTATTTCAGTGCCCCCGTGTAGAAGGCTGGTGGTGCTGGAGTCTGGGATTTCCCTTCTGCCAGGTTAGGTTCTGTTAAAACCCAAGGTAGTTGGCCTCTGATCCAAGTTTCCCTTGAGGGTGGGCTTTGGTGAAACAGCACAGAATGCTCTGGGCGTATTTTTAAATGGTTCCACTTCCCTTACCTCCTGTAGAAGCAGGTCACAATTTTTCTCTGATCCACACCCTGGGAACTTGATGCGGCCCTGAAGATAAAGTTCCTAGAGTGTGGGGCCCACCCATGACAAGATCCCCTGGAGACTTTGAACTCTGAAACTTGTCCACAGTTAAGTCTCCAGCAATTTGTCAATTACAGCTGAAGTTTTTCGTGTTACTGCCTCCCGACGCATCTGGTCTAAGCGGTATCTTCCTGTCTTTTCATTTTGGGGGGGTGGGCAGCAGTTATTCTTGTGACCTCAACTCTTTGACGGATCTAACAAGAATGGTTGATATTCAGTCTGTTCAGGCATTCGCTCTGATATTGGGATAACCATGTCCACAGTTCCTGGTACAATAGCTTCTAAATTCCTTGGATTTTCCTAAGTAATGGGGGTGAGTTTGTTATTCATGATGAGCCTCTTTCAACCCTACCTGAGCTTATGCTACTAAAGTCACTTGTGGGGGCGGGGGGGGGGGGCAGATAGCTTCAGGAAAGACTAACAGTATGATTTGGGGGTTGGAACTTGCAGTCCCGCCCCCCAACCTCCAGCAAGGGGGGAGGGGCTCCAAACACCAAAGGCCTGTGATTGAATTGATCACACCTCTGTAACAGAACCTTCATAAAAACCTCTCAACAGATTTGGAGAACCTCTGGATTGGTGAACAAACACATCGGTGCTGTGAAGGGGGACATGCCCAGAGTGAGGGCATGACACCTCGGAGCACCATCACCCCTGCAACCTTCCTCAACGCACCTCTTCCATTTTTCCGTTCCTGAGTGGTACCCTTTATGACAAGCCAGTAGTCCTGTGTAAAAGCATTCTTCTGAGTCCTATGAGCGGTTCTAGCAAATGATCGAATCCAGGAAGTGGGTCATGAAAACCTCCAACTGACAGTGGGTCAGTCAGGAGTTGTCTTGTCGGCCTGGCCTTGCACTTGGGTTCTGAGGTCCAGGTCAGTCTTGTGGGCCTGAGCCCTTAACCAGGGAGACTGACACTGACCCTGGGTACTTGGTGTCAGAATTAAATGGAACCACCGGACCTCACAGTTGGTGCTGGGAAACGGGGAGACTGGTTGTTGGTGGAGAAAAACCCACACGTTTGGTGTCGGAGGTGACAAAGCAGCATTAAGTTCTCGTGTTCTTGGCTAAGGATGGGGGTGGTGACCAACAGCCTCCTTACATGTTACACGGGAAACAGTCTTCGATTTAGGTTTTGACTTCTGCTATAAGAGTTTAAGATTCCAAGAGTACTTAATTTTTTTTCTTATCATGTGGCGATGGATTCTTAGATATAACAAAAGCAGGAGCAATCGGAAAAAAAAAGATAAACTGGGCTTCATCAAAATGAAAAGCTTTTTCTGTGGAACAGAGGACACCATCAAGAAAGTGAAAACCCAGCATACGGGATGGGAGAAAATATTCACAGACCTTACATCTCACAAGACTCTAATGTCCAGGATAAATACATATAAACATTTACAACTCAGCGATACAAAGACAACTCAATTTAAAAATGGTAATAATTTTTTTTGGTGATTTTCTTTCTATTTGGGCTGCTCAAACCCCACATAGAGGCCCTAAAAATCTGCTTGGAGGGGAGGTAACTGCCAGCATCTGGGTTGTCAAGCAGCAGAAAAGAACAGAGATGGATTCTTTAATAGGAAAGTTGCCACACAAAAATGTGTTCAAAGTCCCAAAACTAAAGGTTACCATTTGGATAGATTTTATAGTATCATTAGCACACATTAAAAAAAAAAAAAAAATTCTGAGAGACATCGTAAGTGCGGGAGGGATAGAGAGAGGGGGAGACACAGAATCCAAAGCAGGCTCTATGCTCCAAGCTGTCAGCACAGAACCCAAAGTGGGTCTTGAACTCATGACGTGTGAGATCACGACTGGAGCCAAAGTCGTACGCTTAACTGACCGAACCACCCAGGCGCCCCCTCATTAGCACACGTTTTCGATTTTAAGGTATTTATTTTAGAAAAACTTACATGGCAATACCTGAGACAGCACTTGAACAGGCACTTAATACACACTGACAAGATCAAATACGTTAACAGAGAAATACAACCCAAACTGGATCAGCAATCAAGTTTAGAGGGCAATGAACTTTCCCGAAAGAAAGAAGATATTCAAGGTAAGAGCGGAAAATGCTTAGGGCAGGGAAAATCAAATCTACAGACTTAAAACCCATGATAGAGTTAACGTTTATGAGAAACTTAGACTTATAACTCCTTTCGTGATCTCCATCAGCACAGTGCAGATTCTCGGGATAACAGAAAACATTCCCGATATCCTTTCCACCCACAGTGAAGAGACAAACCACTGTGCGCACAACAGGGTAACCTCCCAGCCTCATACATCATGATAATTATCACGTCTAGTGTGTCGGCGGCTGATAATTCTTGTTTTGGCCCCGGTCACTGAAAGACTCTTATGAAAATTCCCACTAAAAGAGCAGCAACTGCAACAGCAAGAGCCATTCCACGATAGAAAATCAGCTGCCTCACGGTCAAAACACCCCCAACGGTGGCCACTGGGTACTGGCTGTATTCTTCTAGTCCCATTAGCTGGACGGTTGGGCTCTCTGATCGGACGGTATCGGGTAAAGTCGTTCCATCGGTTACTTCTTTTTCCAACACAGGCAGATCTAATTGCAGAGAAGAGTGGAATAGACGCTTAGGTGCGGGGTTGAATAGGGGGATATTACGGGAAGTTGCAAAGAATGCTTCGTACACAACGGCCATCAATTACTGGCTGCTCTGTGTGAAGTTCCATTAGGAACACTTCACAGGAGAGCCCAGACGGGAGCTGCCCACGTTAACAATGGCAGAGACTAGATTTATTATGCAAGAGAGCAGGCTCTCATAAGCTACGCATCGCTGGCCACACTAAATCTCAGGCTCACGAGGCAGATCAAGTGCACTAGACCGTGTCCCCTGTTACCTGATGGTGCAGGCGTGGTCTCCTCCATCCCTTTCACCCCGGCTCGAACCTGTGCCTGAGAACAAGGGGCACATAAGTGGACAGAGCGTTAAAGTCAGGGCAGTCTAGTACTCGTCTTAAAACTTCACGCAGGTCACTGCCGGGACCGCTGCTAAAGGCTTCCGACATCTAGCACCGTCCTTTCTGGGACTGAAATGCTGGTGACGACAGGATGTCACACTCGACAACCACTCTTCTCCCCAGTGCTCCGCTCGCCATAATGTGAAAAGCTACTTGCTGGTCTAGTCGCAAATTTAACACAGCTTTTGCCCCGTGCACGTTAGCGTTCTGAAGCCCTGATACGAGCAATAAAGTCTAAAGACAAATGGTTATCCTGTGAAGACAGTGTGCGGCCCGACCTGACGCCCTGTGCGCCGCACTCCCGCCATCATAAGTCACACTCTGATCCTGAAGACCCCTCACATCACAGGGAGGAAAGCCAAAGCCATGAGAAACCAGGACAAAAGGGAAGCAGTGACGCTTTGTGCACCTGAACTCGTCTTCCCGGCTCCTTGCCAGTTACCCCGGCCCTAAGCCGACCCCCCTCCTCCCCGTCTCCAGCCTGGACACCATGAACGGGGCTCCCAGTTCAACACGGCGTCGCCCACTGAGTCCAGACCCCGACCTCCCCCCGCAGGTACGGTTCTGCCCCCGGGACTCCCCACCGATCCCAGCTGCTCAGCATATGGACACGTGGCCCAAAAACGTTGGCCCAGAGAGGCTAAAAACAGGTAACAAATCAGTATCAATAGGGAAGGAACTACTAGTTTTCTAAGGACTGTTCTACCAAAACAGCAAAATATTTGTACGCGGGTCGCTGTGGTTGCGGAGCCTCGTTAGCGGGGGCCACGCTGGCTGCACGCTCACAGGACACTGTGCAGACACGGCACGTTCTCTGCCCCCGGCGCTCACGTCAGACCCTTTCCGTGGCTCAGAGGGAGTCGCGCTGCCAGGGCCGCTCTCAGCATCTGACCCTCGAAGATTCCGGCGCCCGGGCCCAGGCAAGAGCCGCGCGGTTACCTGCTCTGCAGCTCTGCTCCAGTCTGTCCTCCAGACCAGTGCCAGGTAGAAAAAGGCTTGAAGGAAGACACACACTATCAATCCAGACCAGAGACCTGGGGACGGAGGAGAGAGGCAGGGCTCAGGCCACCTTCCGCTATGTTCCCGTCATCACGAACGTTCTTCTGAAACTTCCGGATCTACAGCAGGAGCTTCACTTAAAATACCTCCCCTGAAAACTGACATCATTATGGACCAGGATGAGACTCAAGCCCCCCGTGGGGGGATCAGCGGCAGCCCGTGGACCCATCAACAGTAAACACAGCACAAGCCCGTTCGCCGCTTCGCACGCTGATGGGCCAGGGCGTACTGGCTCTGTGCCAGGCGGCGTTTGAGGTGCGGGGTCTCAGACAGACGCGCCCGGGTGACGAGATCAGCGCCCTCCTGGGGCTTCCGTGCTACCGGGGGGCCAGCAGCACAAGGAAGCCAACGTGACGGCGGGAAGGGGGACGAAGGCCACAGGCCACGAGAGACACGGGGCACAGCCCTGGAGCGATGACCTCCAGCCTAGGGCGGGGAGACGGGCAGGGGGCTCACTCTCAAAAAAAATACACATTCAAAAAGAAATTCGCTGTTACTGAAGGCTACAGAAAATACAGATGTGAATACATGTGCAGAACACGTGTACAACTTACCCCAAAAGCACATGATAGATTATTTTGCACAATTCTTTTTTTTTATTATTTTTTTAATGTTTTATTTATTTCTAGGAGAAGGAGGGAGAGAGAGAGAGAGAGAGAGAGATAGCGTGAGCAGGGGAGGGTCTGAGAGAGAGGGAGTCACAGACTCTCAAACAGGCTCCAGGCTCCGAGCTGGCGGTCAGCAAAGAGCCTGACACGGGGCTCTAACCCACAAACCGCGAGATCATAACCTAAGCGAAAGTGGGATGCTTATTTTGCAGAATTCTATACATTTAGAATCATGATAAAGTATATAATTTCCAAAAAAAACTGCTAAAGGAGGGAGACAACATGCACAACCATGGAAGCAAACTATCTTGGGTTCAAACCCTGTCTCATCACATATTACCTGCGGGACAAATTACTTAAGCTCTTCGAGTTTTAGCTTCTTCATGTTAAAAATGGAACCAGTGAGACATCACATGTTATGTGGTCATAATCTAAACTTAAATGACATTGTATCTACAAAAGATCAGCATATATCTGATAAAAGCTCTTGATGAATACTACCTCACAATGTGATTTTCAGTTTTTACATTTTTTTAAACTTGAAAATAAAAGTACTGTAGAAGAACATAGAAGAATGTTATTAAAATCCTATTGGAGACGTTCTTGCTATAATAATAGGGCAAGAAAAAGGAAATAAAAGGCATTAAAATGAAAAAGGCACGCAAGAATATACAATGGGGAAAAGAAAAGTCTTTTTTGAGGTGCACCTAGCTGGCTCAGTCAGTAGAGCATGTGACTCTTTATCTTGGGGTTGGAACTTCGAGCCCCACATTTGGTGTAGAGATTCCTTAAAAATAAAGTCTTAGAAAGAAAAGACGTTTTTAATAAGTGGTGTTGGGAAAACTGGACAGCTACATGAAAATGCATGAAACTAGACCACTTTCTTCTACCATACACTAAAATAAACTTAACATGGATTTAAGGCCTAAATGTGAGACCCCCTCAAACCATAAAACTTCCAATAGAAAACATAAGCAGTAATCTCTTAGACATATTTATCGGTATAAAAACAAAAACAAACTCTTGGGACTATACCAAAATAAAAAGCTTTATTAGTAGCAAAAGAACCCATCAAAAAACCAAAAAGGTAATCTACTGAATGGGAGAAAATATTTGTAAATGATATATCTGATAAGAAGATAAAACCTCCCATAATATTAAAAAAAAAAAAAAAAAGAAAGAAAGAGTTGGCAAGGCTATGGAGACAAGGGACCGTCACGCACTGCTGGTGAGAACACAAATTTGTGCAGCCACTCAGGGACACAGTCCGAAGCTTCTTCCAAAAAGTAAAAATAGAACTATCATATGATCCAACAATCCCACTCTTGGGTATTTACCCAAAGAAAATGAAAACACTAATTCAAAAAGATATATGCACCCCTGTGTTTGCTGCAGCATTATCTGTAACAGCCAAGATATAGAAGTAACCCAGTGTCCGTCAATAAATGGATAAAGAAGTTGTGATATATATACACACAATGGAATATTACTCAGCCATTAAAAAGAATGAAACCTCGCCATTTACAACAGCATAGACAGAGACAGCATAATGCTAAGCAAAATAAGTCTGATTATTACAAACACCAGATGATCTCACTCATATGCGGAACTTAAGATAGGAAACAAATGAGCAAAGGAAAAAAAAGCAAAAAATAAACTAAGAAATAGACTCTTAACTACAGAGAACAAGCTGATGGTTACCAAGGGGAGGTGAGTTAGAGAGATGGGGGAATAAGTGATGGAGATTAAGGAGCGTACTTATCATGATGAAAAAAATAAAATTTTAATTTAAAAATTAGAAAAGGAGTAAAATTACTTATGACACGATCCTATATATAGAAAATCTTTAAAAATCCACACATAGGGGCACCTGGGTGGTTCAGTCTGTTGTGTCTGACTTTGGCTCAGGTCATGATCTCATAGTTTGTGGGTTTGAGCCCTGCGTTGGGCTCTGTGCTGACAGCTGAGAGCCTGGAGCCTGCTTCAGATTCTGTATCTACCGTTCTCTCTCTGCCTCTCCCTGGTTTGTGCTTTATCTCCCAAAAATAAATTAATAACTTAAAATAATTTTTTTAATCCACACACAAAAAATACTACAGCTAATAAATTCAATAAACTTAATGCACTCAATACACAGAATCAGTTGTGTGGTTTTTTTTTTAATTTATTTCTAGGAGAGAGAGAGAGACAGTGTGAGCAGGGGAGGGTCAGAGAGAGAGAGGGAGTCACAAGCTGAAACAGGCTCCAGGCTCTGAGCTGGCAGTCAGCACACAGGCCAATGCGGGGCTCGAACCCATGAACCGCGAGATCATGACCTAAGCAAAAGTCGGACGCTTAACCAACTAAGCCACCTAGGCGCCCCAGTTGTGTTTTACAATACCATTGATGAACAATCTGAAAAGGAAATTAAGAAAATAATTCTAGGGGCGCCTGGGTGGCTCAGTGGATTAAGCATCTGACTTCGGCTCAGGTCATGATCTCATGGCTGTCGGTTCGAGCCCCACGTCGGGCTCTGTGGTGACAGCCAGCTCAGAGCCTGGAGCCTGTTTCAGATTCTGTGTCTCCTTCTCTCTCTGACCCTCCCCTGCTCACGCTGTCTCTCTCTCTCTCAGAAATAAATAAAACATTTAAAAAAAAAAAGGAAGAAAATAATTCTACGGGCGCCCAGATGGCTTAGTCAGCTGAGTGTCTGACTCTTAATTTCAGCTCACGTCATGATCCCAGGATCATGGGATCAAGTCCTATTCCAGGCTCTGCGCGGAGCATGGAGCCTGCTTAAGATTCTCTCCCCTCCTCCCCACCCTCCCTCCATCTCCTACTTGTTTTCATTCTAAAATAACAATAAAATAATTGTACTCACAATAGCATCCAAAAGAATAAAACATCTAGGAATAAATTTAACCAAGAAGGTGAAAAACATTTAAAACTACAAAACATTGCTATAAGAAATTAAAAACTAAATAAATGGAAACCCTATGTTCATGGACTAGAAGACTTAAGACTGCAATATTCTTTCCAAAGCAATCTGTAGATTCAATGCAATCCTGATAAAAATTCTAACAGTTTTTCTGCAAAAACAGAAAACGTAACCTTAAAATTCATATGGAATCCAAGGGTCCCCAAATAGCCAAAACAAAATTAAAAAAGGGGTTCCTGAGTGGCTCAATCAGTTAAGTGTTTGACTTTGACTCAGGTCATGATCTCGTGGTTTGTGGGTTCGAGCCCTGTGCCGGGCTCTGTGCTGACAGCTCAAAGCCTGGAGCCTGCTTCCAATTCTGTGTCTCCCTCTCTCTCCGCCCGTCGCTCAAGCTCTGTCTCTCTCAAAAATAAACAAACATGGAAAACAAAAAAGAACAAAGTTCAAAACTTACTACACCCCTACAGTAATCCCAAGCAGAGTGGTGATGGTATAAGCCAGAAAGGGAGAACAGTGAAGTAGAACAGAGAGCCCAGAAATAAACTCCTACATCTCTGGCCGACTAATTTTTGACAAGCATGCCAAGATCATTCAGTGGGGAAGGAATCGGTTTTCAGCAAATGGTGTTCACTTCACCTAGGTAATTCATCACATTTCAGGTCAGAGGCTAACGCATTACCAACTTAGGGCAAGCCACTTCCGGTAAGTCTGTCAGACTCAGACGTTCCCTCCAACCAATGACAGGTGCTCACAGGACCCCGTTCTTCTCGCCTGCAGTACTGACCCCAAAAGGAATTACTGTGTAATTAATCTTGGTCCCATCTTGAGAGAAACTGATTCCACAGAGGCTACTTATCAGTCAACTATTTTTTTTTAAAGCTTATTTATCCTTGAGAGAGAGAGAGTTAGAAACCATGAAGGGAAGTGGGAGAGAGAATGCCAGGCAGGCTCCACACCACCAACGTGGACCCCGATGTGGGCTCGAACTCCTAAACAGTGAGATCATGACCTGAGCCGAAATCAAGAGTGGGATGTTCAGCCGCCTGAGCCCCCCAGGCGTCCCTTCAGTCAGCTCATTTATCTCTCAAACAGTTTATCTTAATAGGATAAATGAGATTTGAGGTTGGTCACCAAGGAATCAAAAACATACCTATTATCCCCAGTTTAGAAGCAAACATCAGAGATACTCCAATGGGAAAGCCAAAAACGTAATAACCAATGGCATTCATGACAGCCCCAATCTTCTGTTTTCCTGTCCCTCGTAGGATTCCACCACAGGTGCCCTAAAGAGAGGAACAGTAAACCCAACGTTATAGCCCATCCTCACGTCAAGTTCGGGATACTATGTTAACACATCCCAGGTTCGGATATGAAGACAAGAACTGTACATGACATGAGAGATAGGAAACCCCATCAGGTAACACTACTTAAATCTTTGTTTGAAAAGATTTTTCAATAAAAAAAATTTAAGGTTCACTGATGGAAATCTCAAGCAGAAACTAGTCTAATATCATGGCTGAAAAATACGAATGCGATCAAGGGCTTCAAAGACGCCCAGCATCAGAGTGGTGACAATCATCTTGTTCTCTTCCACACTGTTCTGACCACAGCAGTATTTGATCGTGGATACCACACCTTCGGAGTGCTGGTAGTGAAACAGAAGAAATTCCTTGGTGGAAAAAGAAAATGAGAAAAAGAAAGATGACCTAGAAATGATGTCTTGAAGGCTAACTACTGAAATTGGGAAGAAGCCTCAAGGGATGATTCCAGGGTACAGCAGAAAGGTCTTCAAATTCCTATAAACCTACAGAAGATCAGCCTGGAGAAAGACTTTTTACGGGTCAGACTTAACTCCAAGAAGGTGTCCTGGCCGGCCCTGGACCATACAATAGACACAGACCTGATCATGTGGCTAGGATGTCACATAGGACATTCAGGCCCCAGGTAAAGAGGAGGTCAGAGAACTCTGGTCTCTTCCACCTTGAGATGCTATACGTTAGCGTTACCCATCCTTCCCACAAATGGCTAAGAATGCTTGGAGCAAGAACCCTCTCTTCTCCAGGATGAAATCACAGCTATTTAATTCAAAATCTAGAAATGCACAACAAATATGGCTATGCGTATTTGATGGGAGTAAAATCACCGCAGATACTCACTGCAAGGGCATCGAAGAGATGAAAGGGAGCAAAAACAGGCATCACGCGGCTCACAAGGTAAATAATCTCTCTGTTGGAGAAAGAGAAAGTCGTCAGTGAGCCCCGCATTACACTGAAGTGCAGTATGTTAATTACAACTGATCTGACAAAAGCTAACTAGCGGGTCAGTAATTCAGTGGAAACACAGCTTTTCTATCTGACAAAATGTGTATCCAATAAAACCTCACTAATTTAAATTTTAGTAGTTTATTAGGGCAAAAGGGGCATGGTCTAGGCTGTCGCTGTAGAGACCAACTGTTCAAGTTCTGTTTAGGGTATAAAACCGTGCAGGTTGGGGAAAAAAGGTCTCAGCCTGTGGCTGGTAATCTTCTTCTGCAAACGGGAGTCTTCCTCAAAGACGGAGGTGAAGGCCAGTGTTCATACAGGAAATACTGGCCTCATGGATCCTCTGAACTCTGAATATGGTGGAAGATCTGTCTGGGGAGGGACGACAGTGGGGACACTGGGACTCTGGAGAGATAAGGCAGAGCTGGAGGGCTCTAAAGATTTGCACGACGGGGTGCCTGGGTGGTTCAGTTGGTTGAGGGTCCAATTTTGGCTCAAGTCATGATCTCAGAGCTCCTGAGTTCGAGCCCTGCGTCAGGCTGACAGCTCGGAGCCTGGAGCCACCTTCTGATTCTGTCTCTCTCTCTGCCCCTCCTTTGCTCATGTTCTCTCTCTCAAAAGTAAATAAACATTAAAAAAAAAAAAGACCTGTGGTTTGAATACATGAAATGACCATCGTATTCTCCCCAAAGGAAGTTTTCTGCTTCCCTACCATTCACCGTGAAGGAGAAGGTTGCTGGTCAACAGGTACCACAGATACAGACAAAGCTCACAGTCTGCCCTGTCACCAGAGGGGTGTGACCTCTTTGGAACAGACCCACAGGACTGCGAAGTTACCTCAGGTGTACACTATCTCCACTAATCAAAATGAGAACGTAGTCTTTCACTGAAAGGCAGACATTAACCCAGTGTTCACTGGACACTGAAGAAAATCAACTGCGCGCACATGCACACACACACACACAGTATAGACCCAAGCGAGTGTGTAGAACAGCTGACACAAAAGCCAACACGAATTCAAGGAACAAGAAGTAAATGGGGAAAAAAATGGAACAAAAACGAACACTAAAATAAAACATTCTACTCAAAGACTGGATGATGAGATAGATAATGGCAAAATAGTACATTTCGATTCGAAAGATAAAGGTGAGGAGATAACCCAAAACACAGAGACAGAAAACGAGAGAAAAGAGACAAGTCAGATTAATCCAGAAGTTCTGCCATTCATATAAATTCCCCAGAGCTAAAGAAACACCCAGTGCTTTAGACCGAAAGTCTGCAAGTCCACACCAAAGAGAAGAAGAAATATTCACCGATGCCCACACACACGCAAGGACAGAAAGAACACTGAAAGATTTCCAGGAAAAAAAAAAACTCTCCTCCGATGGATAAACAGTCAGATTAGGGTGCGGAGTGTATATCCAGGTGACGTCATGGATGATGATGGGTGGAGGGCGCTCCAAGAATCGGTCCTTTTCCAAAAACAATTACTGAACTAGCCAGAAATGTCAAAACCAACCATTTCACGGCTCTGGACTCCAGCTGAGAGCCTGCAGCAGGTGTGCGTGGTGAAGAACGGGCCCAGGAAGTACCCACGAATTTTCCTGTTGCAGAGAGTAGCCACCGCTTCCCATCCCCTGGTCCCACGGCAGGCAGGTGCTGGGATGGGTGCCTGTGTCCCTGATGTGGCTGATGGGTGGCATGCTGGACAATAAGGATCTTGTCCTCCAAAAATCAGAGTTGGGTGCTTTGATGTCCTTGGCAGGTCACTACGGGACAGTCGCTGTCTCAGCGACCCTCCCCCCCCATGTGGGGGCTGTCCCATAACTGAGAGCGACAGAACTTTTTAAAAATGTTCTTTTCTTATTGGATCAAGACATGTAAGGAAATCTGTCACCACTGGTTCACCGAGGAGACAACAGAAGACACCACACATGATAAGGAACATCGTCTTTGCAAAAAAAAAAAAAAAAAAAAAGCGTTTTGGAAAACTCACTGAGCAAAGAACAGCGATGCTGGGGGAGGGAGGGGGAGAACCGAACCTCCAGAGCTACTTTACAATATTCAAAACGTCACTTCAACACAACATTTCAAAGCATACGAAGAAAGTATGGCCCATTACAGGAAAAAAAAAATTGTCAGAAACCGGCAAATATGGTCACGGTCCAATTTTTTTCCCAGGATTCTAGACATTAACCACAGGCTTGCAGCGACCAGGGGAGCACTTACTCAAGAGAAGTTGCTGAGTCTTGGTAATGACAGTGATATCAGCCTGCAGGGTTTCCACGGGCTGAGGACCACCACCCGGCTCCCAGCTCAGTGACCTTGAGAAACAGTCTATTTCCAAGACCGCGGGAGGAAGGAGGAGCTGGACTTTTGCAAAGAACAGTTACTAGTCTGCAGACAGACCACCTGTCTGGGTTCCTCAGAAGGCCCCACGTGAAGCGCTGTCTTTAGTTCTCTTGACTCAAACCCGGCCAATGCTCAAGTTGGTCTCTGAGAGATGTTTGCGGGCAAGTGCTTTCAGGTGCTGCCAGTGGGCAAGAGCTGTCATGAACGACAGACTAACCAACAAGCCTGGTGGGAAAGGCTGCGCAGTGACACATCAACAGGGCTTTGAAAGCGCCGACGTGTCCCTGGGAATCTAAAAGGCCACACGTATACACATGACCATATATGTGCTCAAGGAAGACCAGAGAGGGGCTAAGCTCACACCGCTGGCTGAACTTGAGGCTCTGCACAGGCAGGAATGAGGGCCAAGCTGTAAGCTGCCCAGCTGAGGGCCAAAACACGCCCTGAACACACAGAGCCCCTCAGCCAAGGGTGGGAGTGTGTGGGACGCACATATTTAAAGGAGTCTCGGTCCAGTAATACGCGGACCGCCAAGGTAAAGACAGAGAGAGACTTTAGTGGCCACGCCTGACAAAAAATACACACGTTACCAAATTAGTTCACACAAGTCACTAAGCAAACATCAGGTGGCCATAAGAAAAAATCTTGGGGGCGGGAGAGGGTTCTGATTTCCAGAACTGCCACATTATAATGTACACAAAGTACATTTGTGTACTTCTGGTTTTCAACCAAAAATATGAGTCATGTAAAGAAACAAGAAAGTATGGCACTTGTACGGGGGAGAAAAACAATTAATAGAACTGATCTCTGAAGATGCCCAGACTCTGGACTCACTAAGAAAAACCCTTAAGTCGGCTATTTAAAAAAAAAATTTTTTTAATGTTTATTTTTAAGAGAGACAGACACACAGAGTGTGAGCAGGGGATGGGCAAAGAGAGGGAGACACAGCATCTGAAGCAGGCTCCAGGCTCTGAGCTGTCAGTACAGAGCCCAATGCGGGGCTTGAACTCCCGAACTGTGAGATCACGACCTGAGCTGAAATCAAGAGTCGGACACTCAAACAACCGGCCTGGGCGCCCCTCAACTGAATTTTGTTATGGAAGTATTCTGAGGCAACCAGTGCAAATTACTGAAGCTTTTTTTTTTTTTTTAAATTTTTAAAAAATGTTTTATTTCTGAGAGAGAGGGAGAGAGAGAGAGAGACAGCAACAGCGTGAACAGTGGAGGGTCAGAGAGAGAGGGAGACACAGAATCTGAAGCAGCCTCCAGGCTCTGAGCTGACAGTCAACACAGAGCCCAACGCAGGGCTCAAACCCACAAACCGTGAGATCATGACCTGAGCCAAAGTCAGACACTTAACCAACTGAGCCACCCAGGCGCCCCTGAAGCTTTTTCATAAAGAGGATCTGATTTATTCACAAGACACTTCGTGATAGCTAAATAATTACGCAAACAGTTACATAAAATACAATAAAATTCAACCTAAGACTGAGTTGGGGTTTATAAGAATTCTACTCTTTTGACCTGGCATCATGCGTCAGCGTGCTCCGGACTGGGAGGTGCCTTTGTGGTGACGGGGACATTCCATGTGCTTTTTCTGTGTTTCTCCGAGCAGAACCGGCATTGAGCACAAGAGAAACGGCACGCGGGTTTGATAAATAAAGAAATGGCTCCTGGAGGAATGAGGGTGGCCCCCTGGGCTTCCCTCATCCAATTTCACCCAACTGCAGTACCGTGGTCCTCACTCCTGGCGGCCACCTTACGGAGTTCCCGTGAACTACAATACCGCTCGCCTCTCAGAACCAGGGAAGTGCAGTGAAAAAAGAAAGCATAAAATGGAAAACATCTTTCTGGAGGATGGGTACATACCGGTCACTGGTAAATACGTAGGCGATCACATCCTTCAACGCTGAAAGCCAAACGCCCAGCACGATAGCACAGACACCTGGAAAATAGATGCAGCAGCAGGAAGTGGCAGTTGTCCCAAGTGTAATAAAAATCGTGGCACTGAGGGGCGCCTGGGTGGCTTAGTCGGTTAAGCGTCCGACTTTCGCTTAGGTCATGATCTCGCGGTTCGTGGGTTCGAGCCCCGCGTCGGGATCTGTGCTGACTGCCAGCTCAGAGCCTGGAGCCTGTTTCAGTCTGTGACTCCCTCTCTCTCTGACCCTTCCCTG